CCGTCTTGACAACATATCCATAATTGTGCATTGTCCTTCTTTGGGACATACTTTCGACGTCGAGGAACCGTCCAGCCGCACGCGCATCCGTTCGACAGCTCGAGGGCACCGCATTGGCTGAAGCAAGCCATCCCTCCGACGCGACGACATTGTGAGTTGCAGCGCAGTCATCATGCCCAGTCTTGCTCACGAGAATGTGTAGGTCCTGGAGTGGGACATTGGTGTATGGGCAAACATGTCGCTGGTAGACTACGCGGTCGCCCTGGCAGTCGTTGTTACTACAAGCTTTTTGAGCCTCGCGGTGGTCATCCAGGTTCGTCGTCGAGGTGTGAAGCAGTTACAATGCTCATGAATTGTGACAGGCATTCGCAGGAATTGTACATGCGAGATCTGGTTGGGAGAGAGAAGACATTGGAGATGCCGTTAACAATGTGCAGCCAGCGAGCTCTGAAGACTCTGGGCTTGGCGACCTAAGGCCCAGCGACCCACAGTACAATGACGCGCAACTGGACGACCTGGTGCGTGCGGGATCGAGTGAGCCGCAGCCGGTGGAGGATCTGCAGTCGGCAAGGCGTAGCGACCCGTATTCCAGCGACCTACTACCGGAGAGATCCAGCGACCCACATCCCAGCGACCCACATCCCAGCGACCCACAACCCAACGACCCACAACCTAACGACCCACATCCCAACGACCCACACCCCGGTGACCCACACCCAAGCGACCCACATCCCAGCGACCCACAGCCCAGCAACTCACACCCCATCAGCCCGCAGTCCGGAGATCCGCAGCCAGCAAGTGCCAGCGACCACGACCTGCAGCTGGTGAAGTCTAGCGACCCGCGCCCGGTGAGAACCATCGTTGGACATTCATCCTACATAGACTCATAACAATTACCATAGGCTTGCCCAGGCGTGGAACATCGGGGGGTGGTGTGCTGTGGGTGCGGAAATCCAATCTTCGGCGTACGTCACAAGTGTGTGGAATGCATGGGGTTCGACCTGTGCCAAGACTGCATATCCGTCGTGTCGCTCCGTTCTCAACATGAACGCGCCCATACGCTCTTTCCGATCGAGTATCCCTGGGACCACCGCCCATTTCGTGATTTATCGTTAGTGCCACATAACGTTCATCGCGATGTCATTTGTGATGGCTGCCGGCAATGGTCGGTCATCGGCGTACGTTACAGGTGCCTCTCATGCGACGACTTTAATTTCTGCTCTGCATGCTTCAACAACATCAAGAGGCGTTCCGCACATCCTATCTCTCACGAGTTCTTTCCCATCCGAAGCCCAGAAGAAGAAGCAAAATTCTTTGCCGCGCGAGACAACGCTCAGACTCCTCCAACTTTCCTGGGAGACCATGGCGTACTCCTTCCCCGGAGAGATGTGACAGGATGCGCCCCCTACGATGCGACCGGTCGACGTTCCGACGCAGCATGCAGCAAATGCAGCGGACTCGCTGTCGAACACTACTGCGTCGACTGTGGTGGCGACTATGGACTCTGTACCGCTTGCATGAGCAATCCGCATGTCCGCATGTCCCACAACCCTCTACATAAATTCACCCCGCTAGAGTCGTCTACGGCACGGCTCGAGTCTAAACCAGATCCATCCTCGGAGCACGACGACATCGCGAGCCAGACCAAGTGCGGCGGCTGCCGACGTCGCATCTTTCGCATCCGACATCAGTGTCTTGAATGCCTTGACTTTTCGCTCTGTCAGCTCTGCATCTCCTCTCTCCAACGGCGCTCGGAGCACGGCATCAGACATCGGTTCTTCCCTGTCGAGTACCCGTGGGATGTTGGCACTTTCGAGGCTGTCCGCGCAACATTGGATGCATCGCGCTGTCGAGGTTGTGGCGTCAAGACCTCGTCGGGCTGGCACAAGTGTCTTTCATGTCCGGACTTGGCCTTGTGCTCATGGTGCATGTCGGACCCAGACCTGCGTCTCAAGCACGACCTTGGGCATCCCTTTTTCCCTTACACATCACGCTCCGGGTTTGGAGTCGCCGAGCACGAAGCTAGGCGTCAGCAGTTCGCCACATACGGGAATTTTCTTGTCTTGCCATACTCCAGCTTGGAAGGTACTAGCTTCGGCTCGGATGACGATAGGTCCTCTGACGGCGTGAGTCTCTCAACCTCAGTCTGGAATATTTCCTATGTTTGTCCACTGATGCCAAGACTTGATTCTCATTCAGGCTGCTACAGAGCACGAATCGCTTGTGCAGTCAAGAGTCTTCATTGAGTTATCAGGAACATCTGTGTGTTTCTCATGCGACAATATTCCGTGGACATGCACCACTCCGCTGGAGGCGATCCCTTATTTCATGGGTCCGCAGCCCGAGGGGCTCAGAAGTCTCAGCAGGAAACGCGCCCGGGACGTCATCTGGGGCTCGATACAGATGGCCGCCTCTGGCATCGTGCCTGCCCACAACATTTTCCGGTTCGAGAGTTCAGGCCCAGGCGAGATCTACACTCTCACTCCTCTCACTCCTTCCACCGTCCCTCTCCAGTGCGTACACATTGGCCAAGGTGCGATACCGGATGCACTCGCCGACATCCCTCGTGGCCTCCTGCCAATTGACGATCTGCTCGCGAAACTCAACAGTGTCCTTGGGACGTCGTATACGCTCGACACCCCTGGTGTCCGTGACTGCTTGAAATACGCGCTCGGCAGTTCGCACGATTTCGGGGAGGTGTATGGGACACTGCGCTCGGAGTGGTCGTGCTGGCAGGGGCCTGAAGACTCTGCCGCGGCACTCACCAGGATGAAGGACCGTTGTGATGAAGTCCAACGAAAGCGGGACAACGCCATTCGCGGCCACTCCATCCAGAACTCGCGAATCCCTCCTCGACGTGTGTGGGACCTGTACAGCAACCGAGTCCTCCCATTCCATGTCATGCCTTGGGCAAAGTACGAGGACGACGGTTGCTTGCCCGATGACCTGTGGACGGTGTCACACAGCTGGGTCCGCGAACAAGACCGCAAGAAGTCCGTCATGACCGTGATCAACGGACGCCGATGGTGCGTCCCGATTCCGCGCGGCACATCCCTCGACCACATCCGCATCGAGCTACTCAACATGGGCGCCAGATACGTTTGGCTCGACGTCCTCTGTTTATGGCAGGAGGGCAACGTGGACGACGACGAAGCTCGGCTCGAGGAATGGAAGCTCGATGTACCCACCATCGGTTACATCTACCAAGACGGGCCACGTGAGAGACCGTGCATCACGTATTTCAACGGCTTGGGGTTGCCGTTCGATCCGTCGCCAGCAGTTGTCGAGTCGGACCGGCACTGGTTCAATCGCGTGTGGACCGTGCAGGAGACGCGGAATACCTGGCTGCCCGGTGGGCTCACTGCGACGCCTCACGTCGATAGCCCAGGGTTCTTTTCTCGGCTGGAGGACCTGTTGCCAAGTCTGGAGAGATTCGATGCCATTCGAGTCATCAGGGATCGCCATTGCACCACCGAACTCGACAGGATCGCCGGTCTCGCTTATTTCCTGGAGTGCGAGACGCTGCCGCTCTATGATCAGTCGGCTTCCTCAGAGTCTGCATGGACATTGCTCATCAAGCACATGCATCCATGGTGGTGGCCAGCCCTTTTCTGCCAATACGAGTCTGACGTGCCGTTTGGACTCTTCGTCTCATGGGCCACGTTCCTTGGACTGACGTCACTACCTGCGCTAGAGCTCTTCGAGTCAGATTTGGAGCTGGTGGATCCTCTGGACGTTCACACCAATGAGCCAGGGCAGTATTGCCATACCCCACCTGCCACCGAGCCGTGCTACATTGTATCCCCACCCGATGACACGCACCAAGGCACCGGACCACAAGCGCTCCAACTCCACTTCTACGACCGCGCTGATCCTATTACTGTGCAAGTCTCTGCTACCAGAACACATGGATGTCTTGTCCCACATGTTCCCTATCGCTTTCTCACTTGTGCCAGGCGGTTCTCGGACATAGCGGCCTGGGTTGCAGTTGAAGTGGTTGGAGAGCGGGACTTGCGAGGCAAGAAAGCGCTTGAGGTGATCAAGTGGGGTGTCATTCTTGTGGACATACGCGAGGACGAGAGACTCAGGAAGCTAGAATTAGGGAGTGAAGAGACGACGGTGGTTTACTTGTCAGGTGAGGAGGCCCTGGCCAGGAGCGGGCACGTCGACAAGTACATGGGGGCATTTAACATGGCGAGAGAGAGCCGGAAGGCGCAGAACGAGCCGTAATGTATTTAGCGATGTGCAGCGAGAGTGTATATCACAAGGTCTGAGCCTATAGATCGCATAACGACGTCTGTCGTGGCGGCTACAAAGTCCAAGCTGCATGAAACTATCCATCGCACCCTCTTCCCGCCTCTGACTCATCTGCCGATGTCTCGATTACTGCGTCGGCCAAGAAGCCGGGGTCGACAGGCTACTGACCAGCGTGCTCACCGCTCCAGCCATGAGCCGGTGCGCCGAGCAGCACACTTATCAAGGCGTCAATAGCGCGGAGATGGCGAAGCAGTCATAACATATCGTATTGAGCAATGTGCAATCAGGTACATGCAGGCCATGGGATAAATCTAGAGACCGTAAGCCAACGTCTATCATATCGTCAGCGACACTCAAACCATGTCAAGGATCCCATCAGCCTTACTTGTCCTCCTCCAGTGCGCCTGCCAACGTCTCCATGATCGCAACCATGCCGTCGCGAGCCCACCAGAACCTGCGCCTATGTCCCAGCCGGCCATCCGTGCGCGGCCGACGAACGTGTAAAGTTGACTATCCACGACCGCCTTCGATGTACGCGCCTCCCCGAGCAGACCAATGACGTTCATCGAGCGGGACTCCTCCCAGAGGCCCACGAGCTCGAACACGCGCGAACAGGCCTCCCAATTGGTCGCCGAGAGAGAGAGTCGTCTTGTGAATAGCGCAAGGGCACATACAGGCGGCCAGGTCGGCGTCAGGGCTGGACCAGAACGCGCACCCCTCGGCGCAGCCGCGAACTTCCGCCCGTCGGCCCGACCATGG